CTCCCCCCCCCCCATCCAAACCCTCCCACCATTATCCCAGGCCGCAACTTCCTCCGCTGCTGGCACGGGCGCAAGGACTCCCTCCTCGACGTCGTCGCCATCAACGACTCCGGCGGCGTCAAGCAGGCGTCCCACCTCGTCAAGTACGACTCCATCCTCGGCACGTTCCAGGCGGACGTCAAGATCGTCGACGACACGCACATGTCTATCGACGGCAAGTCCATCCAGATCGTCTCCTCCCGCGACCCGCTCCAGCTCCCGTGGAAGGAGCTCGGCGTCCAGATCGTCATCGAGGGCACCGGCGTCTTCATCGACACCCCGGGAGCGTCCAAGCACCTCACCGCGGGCGCGTCGAAGGTGATCATCACCGCCCCGGCGAAGGGCGACGACATCCCGACGTACGTCATGGGCGTCAACGCGGACGACTACAAGGACAGCGACAAGATCATCTCGAACGCGTCGTGCACGACGAACGGCCTCGCGCCCTTCGCCAAGGTGCTCGACGACAGCTTCGGCATCATCAAGGGCCTCATGACGACGACGCACTCGTACACCGGCGACCAGCGCATCCTCGACGCGTCCCACCGCGATCTCCGCCGCGCGCGCGCGGCGGCGCTCAACATCGTCCCGACGTCCACCGGCGCGGCGAAGGCTGTGGCGCTCGTGCTTCCCCAGCTCAAGGGGAAGCTCAACGGCATCGCGCTCCGCGTGCCGACGCCGAACGTTTCCGTCGTCGACATGGTCATCCAGGTCGAGAAGAAGTGCACCGCGGAGGACGTGAACGCCGCGTTCCGTGAGGCTGCCGCGGGGCCGATGAAGGGCATCCTCCAAGTTGTCGACGAGCCGCTCGTGTCCATCGACTTCCGCTGCACGGACGTGTCCACGTCCATCGACTCCGCGCTCACCATGGTCATGGGCGAGGACCTCGTGAAGATCGTCGCGTGGTACGACAACGAGTGGGGTTACTCCCAGCGCGTCGTCGACCTCGCGGAGCTCACCGCGTCCAAGTGGGGCTCTAAGTAAGTGGTCGGTCGCGCGACTGGAAGGACGTCGAGCACTATCACGGGGCGCGGCGTCCGGCGGGCGTGGAGAAGAGGAATTTCAACTCGCAGCGCTTTGGCTTGTAGAGTAAACATTTAATCAAAGACTCTGTGATGAATCAATCAAACGAATCTAACCGATCGATCGTATCGTTCGCTCGTTTCGTCGTTCGTCGTCTCGCGGACGCGCGCGTCGTGTCGTCGAGGCGCGCGTTCGGTTCGATGTGCTTCGCGTCGCTATTAAAAAATCATATTTCCCCGGTCGCGCGTCGACGCTTCTTCTTCTCTTTCTTCCTCCTCTTCTTTTACACGACGTCGACGTCGTTCGCCCGCCCGCTTCACACCACTCGCGCTGCCTGCTGTTCCGTTCCGTTTAATCATCACGCTCACGCCTTCACCTTCTCGGCCTTCTCGAGCTGCTGCCCCACGGACGCGGACTCGGTCCAGTTCACGCCCGGGAGGATCAGCGACTTGTCCACGCGGTCCTTGTACTCGATGATAATCTTAAGAAGCGAGTCCATGAGCGCGTCGGACATCAGGTGCGGCTCGAGGCCGAGGTCTTGCAGCTTGGAGTTCTTCGCGTTGTAGTAGTGCTCCTCCATCTCCGTCCTCGGGTTCGGGACGTTGATGACCTGCGGGTCCAGGCCGATCTTCTTCCCCGCCTCGGTGATGAGCGCCGCGAGCTCGTTCACGCTGAACTGCTCCGTGAACTGGTTGTAAATCCGCATCTCGCCCTTGTCCGCGGGGTTATCGCACGCGATCTGGATGCACCGCACGGTGTCGCGGATGTCGAGGAACCCGCGCGTCTGGCCGCCCTTGCCGTACACCGTCATCGGGTGCCCGACCGCGGCCTGGATGCAGAATCGGTTCAGCGCCGTGCCGAAGACGGCGTCGTAGTCGAGGCGGTTGATGAGCGCCGGGTCCATCATCGTCTCCTCCGTCGCGACGCCGTACACGACGCCCTGGTTCAGGTCCGTCGTGCGCATCTGCCACGCCTTCGTGCAGAAGATCATGTTCGTGCTGTCGTGGCACTTCGAGAGGTGGTAGAACGAGTTGCCCTGCTTCGGGTACGGCAGTGTGTCCGTCCGACCGTTGTGCTCCACGGTGAGGTACCCCTCTTCGATGTCGATGTTCGGCGTCCCGTACTCGCCCATCGTGCCGAGCTTGATGAGGTGGCAGTCCGGCGCGAACTCCTTGATCGCGTACATGAGGTTGATGTTGCCCATGACGTTGTTCGTCTGCGTGAAGACCGCCTTGGTGCGGTCCATCATGGAGTAGGGCGCGGAGCGCTGCTCGCCAAAGTGCACCGCGGCGGTGGGCTCGAACTTCTTGAACGTCGCGCTGAGGAACTCGTAGTCGCACACGTCGCCGATGAAGAGCTCGATGTCCTTCCCGGAGACTTCCTTCCACTTCCGCACGCGCTCGTGGATGCCCCGGATCGGGGTCAGGGAGTTGAACCCGAGGGAGTCGTCCATGCCGCGGCGGCAGAGGTTGTCGACGATGCATACCTCGTAGCCGCGGTTGCTGAGGTGAAGCGCGGTCGCCCAGCCGCAGTACCCGTCGCCGCCGATGATCATGACGCGCTGGCCCTTGCCCGCGTCCGGGTCGTCCGCCTTGGAGCGGTCCGCCTTCGCGGCGGCGAAGACCGCGGAGCGAAGCGCGCGGATCTGGGACGACTTGGAGGCGGCGACGGACGGCGCCGCGAAGGCGGCGAGGGAGACGCCGTTGAGGGAAGCCTTGCGCGCGGAGAACGCGGAGGAGGACGCCTTCGCGGTGGCGCGCTTCGCGGAGGCGCGCTTCGCGGTGGTGGTGACCTTCACGCCTGATGATCGAACGGGGAGGCGGAGGGAGGAGGCGCGAGCGTCAGATCGAGCGCGGGAACAGAACAATCGGAGATGGAATAATATGACGTGTCGGCGTCCGCGATCGAGGCGACGACGGCGCCGGCGCGGCGTCGCGCGCGCGCGCGGGGCGGGCGCGGACGCACCGACGGCGGAGGCGGCCATGGTGAAAGCGCTCATCCTTGGTGGAGTCTTAAAGGGTGCGTGCGAGAGACGCGCGGGAGGTCAGTGCCGCGCGGCGACGTTCCCGCGGACGCCGCGAACCGGTGGACCCGGAACGGCGAGGCCCTGAGAGCCGTCCATTTTTCGCGCTCACGCTTCGCGCTCGCGGTTTCGCAGCTCGGTTTCACCGCGCGGAGATTTCAGCGACCGCGCGCCGGTCGCGGTCGATCGCCGCGACCGGAGATCGAAAGCGAGCGAAAAACCAAAAAATCGACGCCGGCGAGTGAACGCTCTCTACTCGTACCGCGACGCTTTACGCCGTCGCGTCGACCGCACGACGTTATCGATAACACACCAACTCACTCCCCGCTCAAACACGCGGCGATGATCGGCGCCGCGGCTTCGCTCGCGGCGAGATACGGCCCCCTCTTGCTCTCCCACACCGAATCTATCACCTCCGCGAACCTCGCCCACTTGACGCGCGAAAACTCCGCGGGCTCGCCGTCTAACCCTCGGAGGTCGCAGAACGCGGCGGGGTCCTCCGTCGTCGGGAGGTGAAACAGCGAGAACTCTAAGCGCTGCCCCGCGAGGCCTTTCTTCGCGAGCCACCCGCCGGCGAGGTAGCAGTACTCGTCGGACGGAGGTATGGACGCGACGAAGCGCAGCCCCGTCGCGGCGTCCCCGACGCGCACGCCGATTTCTTCGTACAGCTCGCGCGTCGCCGCGGCCTCCGCGGTCTCGGTCACCTGCGGTGGGTGGGTGGTGGCGTTGAAAGGTACGTACGGCGCGTGAGAAGACGGTCGCGGCGCGGCGCGGCGCGGCGCGCGGATGGGATGGAATCTAGGGCGCGGACTTCGGGCGGTGGGCGGGACCGAGAGAGAGACGGGAAGCGATCCAAAAAAAATCATTCATTCGTTCGTCGCGCACCTCGATCCCTCCCTGCGGCATCCCCCAGGACCCCGGGCGGTCGCTCCTCTCGCCGACGAGGACGTCGCCGTTTTTGTTGAACACGAGCGCGGCCGCGCACCGTCGGTACTGCTTCCCGTTCATCTCCACCCTGCACTCTTCCGGGTAGACGCGCTCCGTCTTCGCGGAGGCGGACCCGGCACCCTCGGAGGCTGTCGCCATCGTCGTCACGGGTCTTCTTCGCCGGCGCGGCGGCGGCGGCGGCGGCGGCGACGACGACGACGGTCGCGGGATCGTCACCGCGCGCGATGCGGCGGCGCGGCGGAACACGGATGCGGCGGCGGCGGCGGGGACGACGCACGCCTTGAGCATCGCTCGGAGCGGGGACGACGCGCGACGTGGTATGATGCTTCTTCGACGCGGCGGTGCGTTTGCGTTTGGTTTTCTCTCGGAACAGGAGGCGACGGACCGATTCGGCGTCGCTGATTGGCTGAAATCGTCGTTTATCAAGACTGTTTATATTTCTTAAATGCGGGTCTTCGGGTCAAGATTTCACGCTGCTTCACCGAACGACCGTTCGGCTGAGTGATGACACCACCGCTGATACACCGGGTGAAAACCCGGGTTCAAGGTACCAACTGGCTTTCGACTTCATCGATGAAGTCGGAACCCGGTTCCTGTAGTGTAGTGGTTTAGCACCTTGGACTTTGAATCCAATAACCCCAGTTCGACTCTGGGCGGGAACTGAAGCGCTTGCTTTTTGCCGATCAACCTGACAGCTGAAACCTCCGGCGGAAACGACAACGACCGAACCGAACCCGTCGTCGCGACGACGCGCGCACTCCGTCGACCGCGGAGGTGGATGTCGTCGCTGGCGCCCGTCCTCGCGTCGCGTCCGCGCTCGCGCGTCTCGCCTTTTCGTCCTCCTCGCGTCGGCCACCGCGTCGCCGCCGCCGTCGTCGCCGCCGCCGCCGCCGCGAGCGCGGAAGACGCGCCGGAGTCGGCGCCCTCCTGCGTCGTCTCGGAACCCTCGGAAGCGCAGAAGATGATCGAGGTCGAGCGCAAGTACGGCGCCCCAGCGGACCTCAAAGCCGCGATTACGACCGCGGAAGGGACGCTCACGAAGTCCATCATCTTCGGCGACACGTACTACGACACCCCGAACTGCGACCTCGCGGCGAAAGACGTGTGGCTGCGTCGAAGGGAGAAACAGTGGGAGATCAAGATTCCCGTGGAGGGGGAGGGGGGGAGAAGTGGTGGCGAGCGGAGCGTGTTCCGCGAGGTCGAGGGCGCGCGTTCTGTCGCGGACGAGCTCGCGGCGGCGTTAGGTCTCCCAGCGCCGAGCGACGGCGGCGACGGCGGCGGCGCGGACGGCGAGGAGATTTTGACGCGGGTGATGGCGGACGCCGCGGCGCGTCCGTTCGCGGAGTTCGTCACCGAGAGAGTCTCGTGGTCGTTGGACGGCGCGTCGATCGATTTTGATCACGCGTCGTTCGGGCACTCCGTCGTGGAGGTCGAGGTCATGTGCGAGCGCGCCGAGCAGGTCGAGGACGCGGAGAAGAAGGTGGAGGAGGTGGCGGCGAAGTTAGGGTTGGAACCGCTGACGGAGACGGGCGGGAAGCTCGAGACGTTCATACGGAAAAACTGCCCGAAGCACCTGGCGGTGCTCGTGAGCAAGGGGTACCTGAAGCCGTGACGTCCGCGGACGCGATGCGTAGTATCGCGCGCGCGCGCTAACACATAAATTAATTAAAACTATGATAGCCCTAAATTAAATTAAACGAAGGGCAGCGCGACGACTCGAGCCCTACGTCCAGCGTCGGGACGCGGCGGCGCGCGAAGACAGTCGACGGCCGCCGCCGCTGCCGCCGCCGCCGCCGCCTCTCTCGTCGTCGTTCTCCCCCCCCTCCTCCTCCTCCTCCGCGAGAGATGTAGTACCCCCGCCCGAACACGAACCACCCCCGCCGCGGCACGCGCGCAGCCGCTCGATCATCTCCGCGGTCCGTCGCGCGTCCTCCTCCCTCAACGCGTCCCCGCGCGCGAACCGCCGCAGATGCGGAGGCAGCGACGCGTAGGATTTTTCCGGCAAGCCGTAAGACGCGGCGAACGACGACACGCGCGCGGCTTCGATCTCGCGCGGCGTCGAACGCGCGCACGTCGCGGCCGCGTTCGCGGTGGACCGTCGAAGGACGCGCGACGACGACGACGTCGTCAACGTCGACGACGTCGTCAACGTCGACGACGTCTTCTTGCTTCTCGCGCCGCCGACCGCGACCGCGGCGGCGGACTTTTTCTTTCTCGTCTTGGCTCTTCCCGCGGCCGCCGCGTCCGCGCCGCTCTCCGCCGCCGCGGTCGTCTGGCGCTTCGCTGACGACGCCGACGACGACGCGCGCGGTGGCTCGTCGTCTGACGTGTCGGACGACGAGTCGTCGACGTCGTCGTCGGTTCGCCTTCGCGTCGCCGCCGCTTTCGCTCTCCCGCCGCCGCCGCCCGCCGCCGCCGCCGCCGCCGCCGCCGCCGCCCTCCCCTCCTCCTTCTCCTCCTCCCCGTCGAGCTCCGACGAATCGTAATCGTACTCATACTCGTCGTCCTCGTCCTCGTCCTCGCTCTCGTCCTCGCGCAGCGCCGCGGCGGCGGCCGCGGACGCTTCCCCGCGCCACGCCTTCAGCGCCTTCACTTCCTCCGCGACGTCCACGCCGCCGATCGAGTGATGATCGCGCGCGAGAAAGATCCCGTTGTCCACCCCGATCGGCCGCGGGCCAGTCGAGCCGGTCGAGCTCGTCGAGGCGGCGTCGACCGGCGTCGGCCCGGGAGAGTGCGAGAACGGCTCGACCGCGAGGGAGTAGTGCCTGCGGAGGACGCCGAGGACCCACTGCGCGGCTTCCCACTCCTCGAGCGTCTGCGTCTCTCCTCCCTCGCCGCCGCCGCTCGCGTCCGGCGGCCGCAGCACGTGCTCCCTCGCCCTGCACCCGGTCACCCTCAGCTCCGAGACCGCGTCGAACCTCAGCGCGACGGCGCCGCAGCACTGATGCAGCCCTTCGTTCGAATCCAACGCCCCGCCCGCGCCGCTTCCCGGCAGAGCGTCGAACGTCGCCCTCGACGGATGATACAGACAGTGCGCGAGTTCGCTCGCGGGAACGAGCGCGCGGCACCGCGTGCACGGCGGGAGGACGTGTAAGACGCCCCAGAGGTGCCAGTAAATCTCCCGCCACGTGTGCTTCCGCGCGCGCAGCCGCTGCAAGTGTCGATGAATCTCGAACCCCGGCGATCGCATCGGGACGTGCCTCGCGATGACGTCGCCGTTGAAGTCGACGTACGTCCGCGCTCTGGGACACGTCAGACGATTCCGATGCGCGGAACTGTACAGGCGGCCGCACGCGGCGCAGCGCGCGACGGACGTCGTCGCCGCGCGCGCTTCGAGCAAGCGCTCGAGCTTGAGGCGGTAGAGTTTGGACACGAGCAACGCGGCGCCGTTGGAGTTGGAGTTGGACGTCGACGACTTTTTTTCGCCGGCGTTCGCGTCGTCCACGTCCACGTCGACGTCGACGTTCGCCGGCGGCGGTTCCGGCGCGCGTCGCACCAGCTCCAGCGTGTCCTCGGTCAGCTGCGCGGCCAGCCGTCGCAGCAAGTGCTCCGCGAGGCAGCTCACGTCCAAGGGCTGGTTCACGATGTCGAGTATCCGCGCGCGAATAAACGCGAGCGCCTCCTCCGTCAGCCGCTCCATCCGCAGGAAATCTGATGAGGGTCAAGCGACGTCGGGGTGGGTGGAGTTGAAAGGCGTCAGAAGCGGAGTTGAAAGGCGTCGCGGTGTGTCGGGATCGAAAGCGAGGGACCCTGGGCGGAGAGATGCAGACGCCGGGAGAGAAAGTCCTTAAGGATCGGCGTTCACCGCGTGAACGCGGTCGTATGGGGACCAGTGCGAACAATAACGCGCCCGACGATATCAGCACCGGCACGACGTTCTCCACCGTCAGCGTCGGCCCCTCCGCGATCCCCCCCGGCCCCGCGGTCGCGTTGACGTACTCGAGCAGCCACGCGAAGACTTCGACGTCGCAGTGCACGGACATCTCCGTGGGCGGGCGCGACGAGCTCTGACCGGTCGTCGTCGTCGCGGACCCGGAGAGGTGCGAGCGGAAGTAACGCATCTCGCGCGTCAACAGCGCGAGCTCGCACGTGAAGTCGCGCCGCGCGTCCCTCGCCTCGTCGAAGACGTGGATCACGATCGTCCGCGCGCCGCCGAGCCCGTCGGAGGAAACGCTCGACGACGCCGCGGTGCGGACGACGTCGCGCGCGGACGTCGTGAACCCCTGGAGCTTTCCGATGCGATCCGACGTGCTCGTCGTCGGCGGCTTCTTCTTCTGCCGCGAGGGCGGATCCGACGCGGACGCGGACGCGGACGCCGCGCCTCCGACGCCGCCGCCGCCGGCGCGCTTGGATATCTCCTTCGCGGACGACCGCACGCCGAGCGTCGCGACGCGTCCGAGCGGGGAGTGGAACGTCCGCCCTCCCGCGGCGAGATTATTATTCGCGGTCGTCGTCGAGACCCCGCTCCCGCTCCCGCCGCCGCCGCCGGCGGCCCGCGCCGCGGAGCCGCTCCCGCCGCCGTCGCGGCTCTTCCCGCCGCGGCCCGCCGCCGCCGCCGCCGCCGCGGACGTCTTCGACGGGAACGGCATCGCGCCCCGCGACCGCGTCGCGCGCGACGTCCAATGCGCGGCAGCTCGCGGTCGTCCTGTTCAAAAACATTTCCCGATCAAGCCAGCCGGTTACCGGTCAAACTGACCCGCACTTGTCCCAGCTGACCGACGGCCGAAGCGCCGGAGGCGCTGATTTGAAACCGCAGTCTTCCGAACAGAAACTTCTTCGCGAACGGCACGCGCACGCTCGGGACTCTTGCCACTCCGATGGGCGCCTCCTCGGCGGACGACGACCCGGTCGCGGCCGTCCGCGCGATGCTCGGGCGGAAGCTGCGCGTGCGCGTGACCGACGGCCGCGTCTTCTACGGCTACCTCACGTGCTTCGACAAGCTCGGGAACGTCATGCTCGAGAACGCGACGGAGTGCCGCCCTGGCGCCGCGGACGGCGCGCTCGAGGACGACGCGAACGACGGCTCGTCGCTGGAGGCGGCCGCGATCGGAGGCGCGTCCGCGGCGTCGTTGGAGAACGTCTGCCACGGCACGGACGAGGCGCGGCACGTCGGGTTGGTCCTCATCGAGCTCGCGCAGAGGACGCGCGTGAGTTTGTGGGAAGACGGCGACGGCGACGGCGACGGCGCGGGCGGCGGGACGACGAGGACGGGGATGGGCGGAGGGGTGCACCCGAAGGCGTTCGAGGCGATGCGAGGCATGGCGGACCTGTCGATCGCCGCGACGGCGCCGAACGCGTAGAGCACGACTCCTGCATAGCTAGCTAGGCATAAGATAGACTATCATATTCGCGCCCCCTGTGCTTCGCCTCCGTCTTCCGTTTCTTCGTCGCGGGCGTCGAGGCGCGTCCGACGAGACGCGCTGACGACGCCGCCACAGAAGTCATCCATCGTCCGTCGTCAGCGCTCGTCTTCTCTTCGACGAACGCTCCGCGCCGCCTCCACAAGAGCGCCGCGCGCGCGCGCGCCCCCACACGCGCGCGATGGCGTCCGCGTTTCTGGGGTTCATCTCCCAGCTCCCTCCGCGGCACGTCGACCGCCTGTACAACTCCCCGCACGCGTGCCTCGCGGTCCTGCGCTCGCTCCCCGAGCTCGCGAAGCACTACTGCATGCGACTGATGTACGTCGAGGGAGGCGTTCCGTCGATCGATATGGACGAGTGGGTGACCGACCTCGGCCGCGACGCGCACGCGGAGAGCGTTCGCCGCATGCGCGAGCTCAGGGTAATGCTGCCGCTGGAGGACGTCACCGGCGCGGCGGGAGACGGCGAGTCGCTCGGTCTGAACCCGAAGTTTCAGCGCGGGATGCGCTCCATCATGGAGGGCGGAGGATTCGGCGACGGATTCGACGACGACGACGCGGCGACCGCGAGCGACCTCGGGAGCGCGCTGCCGTCGCCCGAGGACCTGGAGTCGTACGCGAAAGGGCGATGGGAGGCGCTGCTGTTGACGCTCACGGGCGCGAGCGACGCGTTCGTCGTGAGCGACGGCGATCGGGGGGGATCGGCGATCGCGAAGAAGAAGGGCGCGGGCGGGGGCAAAAAAGGCAAGGCGGCGGCGGGCGCGAACGCCGCCGACCTCGACGTCGGCGCTCTGTTCCGCGCCGCGGGTTTGATCGGGGACGCGTCCAAGGGCGAGAAAGAGGGCGTCACCGAGGCGGGGTTCAAGTTCTTGCTGAGCACCGCGCGGGAGCAGATATGGGCGCTGTTGGTCCGGTACATCGAGCGGTACGCCCCCGGCGGTACAGCCGGCGGCGGCGCGGGGACGGAGGCGGCGCCGATGACGATAGACGACGACGACGACGACGGCGGCGACGACGACGGCGACGCGAACCCGAACGCGCAGGACGCGCCCGCGGTGCTGAGCTTCCTTCTCAAGCTCACGTTCCAAGCCCCCGGGGTGGCGTACTCCACGGACGGCTTGCCGGCGTCGCAAAAGGGCGTCGTTCGAGACGTCGCGAAACTCGGTCTGCTGTACCCGCTCGCGGCGGCGGGGAAAGGGTACTACGTCCCAACGTCGCTGAGCAGCGGTCTCTCGGGCGGCGGTGGCGGCGACGACGACGGCGACGGCGGAGTTGGGGGCGGGGGGAAGAAGAGCGGCGACGGCGGCGGCGTCGGCGCGCGGGGGCACATCATCGTGGAGACCAATTTCCGAGTGTACGCGTACACGTCGAGTGCGGTCGAGGTTGAGATTTTGCGGCTGTTCACGCGCCCGGATTATAAGCTTCCGAACCTGTACGTCGGGATGATGACTCGCGAGGCGGTCGTGACGGCGCTGCGCGGGGGGATCAGCGCGGAGCAGATCGTGTCGTATCTGCGGAAACACGCGCACCCTCAGGCGAGGAAGACGCCCGGGCCGGCGATACCGGCGACGGTGTGCGACCAGATTCGGCTGTGGTCCAAGGATGAGAATCGCGTCAAGTACACGCCGTGCGTGTTGTACTGCGACTTTCCGACCGGGACCGGGATGTTCGAGAAGGTGGCCGAGATCGCGAAGGAGAGAGGATTGTACCTCTGGGGGGATCCGGTCGGTCTGAAGCTCGCCGTGCGCGAGGAAGGGCACGAGAGCATGAAGGACGTCTTCAAGAAGATACGCGCGGGGGAACTGTGATGATTCGACGAAATAGTCTCTAGTAGTAAAACAACCTACGTAGCTTCAATCCGAGAGCACGTCGCGGTACCCCGACGACACGAACGACAACACGAACGGGTTCACCTGCGCCACCGCTCGCATCTCCTTCGACCACGACGTCGCGTGCGCGCGCTTCTCGTCGTCCGTCTCGCCCGGCGCGAACTTCTTCACGAGAAGGGCGTAGTACGCGCGAAGGAACAACGCTCGAGCGGCCTTGTACCGCTCCACGACGCCCGAGGGCACGGGCGCGACCTCCGCGGCGCCGCGCTCGCCGTTGACGCCGCCCTCGCGCCACACCGTCGCGATCGCGCCGAGCCGCCACTCCGTCTCCACGACGCGCAACGCGACGTCGAGACGGCGCCAGTCCTCCGCGGCGCCGACGCCGTCCGTCTTGAACAACCGCGGCAAGAACACGTCGCTCGCGAGTCGAAGCGTCAGCGACGGCCCGAGGAACGCGCTGAGCTCCGGCACCGGGTCCTCGCACGCGACGCACAGGACGGTGAAGAACGCGAGCTCTTCCGGGTCGGCCATCTCGAAGAGCGAAGGGACGACGCGCTCGCCGGGGCGCGCGTCGCGGAACGTCGTGTCTAACCGGAACTCCAGCACGTCCATCGCTCGGCTCGCGTACGCGTCCGACAAACACGCGTCTGATGACGTGTCTGATGACGTGGCGTCGATGCCCATGCCCGCGCGCGCGGTGTGGCAGAGCCACATGATGTGCGCGCGCACGAGGCTCTTGTGGTCGTGCAGTTCCGTGGACGTCGAGAGCGCGTCTTCGAACCGTTTCGACGCCGTCTCGAAATCCTCGCACGCGAGCGCTTTTCGTCCCTCGCTCAGGCGTTCGAGGATGATTTCCTCGCCTTCCACGAGCGATGTCGGGCCTTTCGCCGCGATCCGCGCGCGAAGCTCTCGTAACGGCACCTCGAGAACGGTTTCACCGTCGCACAAGACGCCGCCGCCGCTTCCGCTTCCGCCGACGCCGCCGCCCGCCGGCTGCTTCCTTCCCTCCACCACCGAGCACCGCTCCCTCTTCACGGACAACATCTCCGCGGCTTCGCCGTGGCCTTGCACCCCCAACGGGTTAATCAACACCGCGATCCTGCCCTCCGAGCTCCCGACGCCCTGCGCGTATCCGAGCTTCCCGTTCGCGTCCGGCCGCGACGCGAGCCCGGCGATCCTCACGAGCTGCCCGCGCCAACTCCCCGCGTCGGACGCGGCGAGGTCGCCGTCCTCGAGCTCGCGCTCGCCCGCCTCCGGCATGACGCGCCACGTCAGCGGTTCCGGCGCCGGCGCTTCCCGAGTCAGCGGTCTCGACGGCGGCGGCGTCGGGAGGACGCGCGCGCCGGGGCCGGGGCCGGGGCCGGGGCCCGAAGCCGGCGCGGCGGCGGCGGCGGACGCGCCGGCTTCCCTCGACCCGGCGCGCCGGTCCTCGTCCGCCGCGTCTTCGTCGTCGTCGTCCTCCCCCTCCTCGCCGTTTTCCGGCTCCACGCCCGCGCACGCCTCGTCCACGCGCTGCCACGCCTCGCGCTCGTACACGAACATCTTGCTCTCGTCCTCCGAGAAGTCCGGCCGCGGCCGCCGCTCCAACGCTTTCGCCGCCGCCGTCGGCCACCCCCCCGCGACCATCCGCGGCGGCACGCGCGCGTCGCGCGTCAGCGATCCCGCGAGCTGCAGCGCGCGCATCCGCACCTGCGGCGCGGTGCGCGCGTCCGTCTCCGTCGCGAGCGCGAGGAGCGGCGGGAGGAGGCCGGTTGGGACGTCCACGTCCGGGCGCCATCGACGCGTCGCGAGCGCGAGGCCTCGGCGCGTCGGCCACTCGAGATGCGATCCGTCGCGCGAGCGGTGACCAAACTGCGATCGGTGGTCCGCGCCGCTGACGCTGACCAGGATCTGGAGCGTCGCCGCCTGGAGGTGCGTCAGCGGTCTCGCGCGCGCGCCGCCGGCGCGAAGATCGTCGCCGTCGCGCTTGGACAGCATCGCGACGGACCACCGAAGCGCGGATCGCGCCGGCGCGTCCTCGGGGCCCTCGCAGAAGGCGCGCGCGGCGGCGTCGCCGTCGTCTCCGGGGCGTCGCAGCAGCGCGTCGAGATCGCGCAGGCGGGCGAGCGTCGCCGCGAGGTCCACCTTCCCGGGCGCGGTGAGCGTCTCCGAGATGTCGAGGACGCGACCGGCGGCGGACGCGGTCGGCGACATCGTCGCCGGCGCGGGGGGCGGGCGTCGTCGCGCTGTGATCGGCGGTGCCAACAGAAGGAAGATTCCATTGAGCGAAAAGTTGAGAAGTTGGCACCTCGCCGTCGGCGCGCGGCGAGCGTTCAGACGGGAAGGTTCGGACGCGCCACGGTACTGGTATGGGGTGGCTCAAACTCTAATAAAAACAGATACAACCCGACCGTTCGGTCGGAAACTAAGCCAAGCCATCCACCCCGTCTTCATCCCTTCGAAGCGCGCGCGTCCTCGCGTCCTCTCTTCGTCCTCTCTCGTCGTTCGCGCGTCCTCGTCCTCCCCGCGGCCTCGAAAGAAAAACCAAAACCGCGCCGCGCCGCGCCCGCCGAACGATTCAACGTGCCCATCGACGCCTCTCCGCCGCGTCGCTCATCACATCACAACTTGTTGAACGAGACCGGCGTGTCGTTGTGCACCCTCCAGATCGTCTCCCCGAGCAAATTCCCCACGGATAACACCGTGAGCTGCGGGAAATCCCGATCCTCCGTGTGCGGGATCGAGTTGGTGACGATCACCTCGGTGAACACCCCGGACCCCAGACGCTCCACCGCCGGCGGCGAAAAGATGGCGTGCGTCGCGCACGCGTAAATCTCCCGCGCCCCCGAGTCCCTCAACAACTTCGCGCCCGCGAGCAACGTCCCGCCGGTGTCGATCATGTCGTCCACCATGACGACCACCTTGCCGTCGACGTCGCCGATGAGGTTCATCACCTCCGCCTTGTTGTGGCCCGTCCGCCGCTTGTCGATGATGGCGAGGGGGGCGTCGCAGAGCTTCTTGGCGAAGGCTCTGGCGCGCGGGACGCCGCCGACGTCGGGGGAGACGACGACCAGATCCTTCGGCGCGAAGTCTTTCGACGTGAGGTAGTCTAAGGGCCATTCCATACAAAGCGACGTCGGGGTGGAGTTCATAGGCGTCAGAAGCGGAGTTGAAAGGCGTCGAGGTCGGGAATTGAAAGCGAGGGACCCTGGGCGGAGAGATGCGCCGGGAGATGAAGTCCTTAAGGATCGGCGTTCACCACGCCAACGCGGTCGTATGGGGACCAGTGTATAGAACGCGCCTAAGATGACCGTCTCGCCGTAGATGTGGTCCACCGGGATGTCGAAGTATCCGATCGTCTGGAGCGAGTGAATGTCCAACATCACGATTCTCGTCGCGCCCGACTCGGTGAGCAGATTCGCGGTGAGCTTCGCCGCGATGGACTCTCGCCCGCTCGTCCTTCGGTCCGCGCGCGCGTACCCGTAGTACGGGATCACGCACGTGATCGACCGGCACGACGCGCGCCTGCACGCGTCGATCATGATGAGGAGCTCCATGAGGTTATCGTTGACGTTTGGCGGGCATGTGGGCTGGACGAGGAAGACGTCGCAGCCGCGGATGGACTCTTTGATCTGCACGTACACCTCCCCGTCCGCGAACTTTTTGATCGTGGACGTGCCGAGCTCCATGCCGAGGTAGTTGGCGACCTCCTGTGGACGGGAAGACGCGCGATGAATGAATGGGGGCCGCCGCGGTCAGCGTTTCGCGTTTGAACGAAAAAAAAGCGGGTGTTAAGCCTCGCGAGAGCCCGGTCTCGTTTGAAATCTCGCGCGAGCGACCGCCGCCGCGCGCGCGCGCGCCGCCGCGCGACGTCCGGGTTCGACGACCGCTCGCCGCGCGCGGGTTCTTGGATGCGCCGCCGCGCCGCGACGACGACGCGGGGCGGCGCGCGACGCGATGCGGCGCGCGGCGCGCGCGCGCGCGGGCGGCGCGAGGAAAAGCCAACATTTCGCGATCGCGGGGAGAGGGACGAGGGCGAGGGCGGACGCACGTCCGAGAGCTCCGGGTGCGCGCTCCCCGAGAACACCTTCAAGCGCTCGCGGTGCGGCATCAGCGTGACCTCCTCCGGGAACGACCGCGTGTCGGACCCCGCGCTCGCGCCGACGCCGAGCCCGGTGAGGCCCTGGATCGACGCGCTGTCCGCGAAGACGTTGTCCTTGGACACCGTCGCGCGCGTCGCCTCCGAGCGCCGCCGCCGCATCGTCGTCCGGAGACGCTTCTCCGCCGCGCGCGAGGGCGCGAGCGCCGCGACGGACGCGATCGCGCGCTTGGAGGAGACGCGCGTCGCGCGAGGCGCGACGACGGAGGGGTGGACGCGGCCGAGAGCCGCGGCGGACATCATCGCGTGCGCGGCGTGCGCGGAGCGCAGTGGCGCGCGGCCGCCTCCCCCTCGGGTCAAA